TATATATATATATATATATATATGAGCTAGCAATCCTAGCCGGCGGTCGTCCTTCTCGAAGTTCGGAACCATTACCCTTAGAGTGTTTAAGACAAAATAGTATGTTTATGCTCTGTTCTAGAAACCTACATTCCCGGCTGTTTTCGACTATAAGGAGAAGACGTCTTACGTCTCTTACTTAATATCAACCATACGTCTAGATTTATTTCTAGTCTTCAAATGTGAGGCGTCCTCATTTGCAGTAGATATAAAAACGAATACGACATTTATAAACTGTCGAAACTGTTGCAGTTTAAAAGATTTTGTCTTCCAGAACGCAGCCCGCAGAGCTAAGCCCCACATTCGCTGTACGACCTGCAGGATGGGGCGTTCGGTGTCCCGTGTGCAGTGTACAGTTATGTAAATGCACACCTTATTAACGCACTTTCCATTGGTTGGTTCGCTGAGGTTTGGTAAAACTCCTTTGTCTTACAATCTCCTTTATGTTTTCCGCTTCTTATAAAGCCCGCACAAGTATACGTGTTTAGATAAGAGAGCGTGCGCAGGTACCACAGGTGAGAATTATTCAACTGGCGCTGACAGCTCCCAGTATTTTTCCCTGAAAGGTGGATGTACTAACTTTAGTATTTTTAAGACCAGCAACGTTGGTTATGCTTTTCGCCTTGAAACGCAGGTTACCGTTGTACATGTTCGACCTCGGTCGACGCTAGGCGTGAAACCTCTAAGGCTGTCCATTTCTGCTTTCTCTGTGTTCAAACTTGGGCGAGAGAAATTTTTACTATGGTACTAGGTTTGTTTACGCAAGTAATAACTATGGAGAGTATGTTGATTCATGGGTAAACACAGAGGTAGACCTGCTTCCATATTTGTGTCTGATTGCAACATTAATCTCTGGAGAAAATACTAGTAGTATAATATTTAAGATTTACTTTCTCGTCGAAGTCCTTGAGTGTTGTGGTCGCATAGGACAACCAAGCGGGCACACGGGGTATCATCCGTCACAGAATTGTTGTTCTTTTTACAGGCCGCCGCTTCGGTGCAGAGGTAAGCGTCCTGCAGACTCGTTACCACAAATGCTAAACGCAGCGTCCGTCGTTCTCTGTAGGCTCTTAAGCACTCTTTTATCGCAGTTCACGTTGGTTGACTCGTCGAGGTTTGCCAAGATACCTTCCGCTGACTATAAATCGTAATGGTCGAAGCGGGAAAATATTGCCCAGCGTATTTTTAGAGCCAAAAAATGATTTCACATGCGTCTTCAGGGAACTATCACATATGAAGGCGGAAGTTAGGGGTGACGTTGTGCGTGCCCTGTTCTACGCAGAACGTATTCACTCCTTGTGAAGGCTCTCACATTGTCACGAAAAAATCCTTTCCACTTGTGCGCCCTCTGTGGACAGGATACTTCGATAGAAACTTCCAGAGCTTTGTTCCGGTAGACTGAACCTGTGCACTGCACACAGCTGGAGTAGAAAGGTGCGTGTGAAAATAGTTAAACTTGACCCAAAGACTCCGGTATCCAATCCTATGACTTATTCTGTAAACTGAAAAACTGGTCGCTTAATGAAATAGACTGTCGTTGCTCATCAGAGGAAGCAGGGCAGAACGCAGAAACCGCCAGAAGACCTTGAACACTCTCCTCATTCAAAGAGGTTGCACGTTGCATGATACTGTTAAAAGCTTATCACTGTTAACCCCTTTTACAAAACCGTATTCTGTCGAAACTTCTACTGATAGCCCTTGCCGACCTACTGACTATTTATCTTGTTGCTATGCATTTTGCTGTTTGTGCAGCCGCTTTGCTTTTAAGTTATTGGTAGCTTCTGAAAACGATATATATATTCAAGAATGACAGGCTCCCATAAAGTTCTTTAAAGGCTGTCTGTAAGTTCTATTAAAAGTTCATTTTTCAACAAAACGACATTTAACACCTCGCATTAGGATTTCCTAAAATATCCACAGTTTATAATCTATATATATTCGTCCTTCGTCCCGTCTCGCATTATGCCCTGGTTAACCTGTAATATGCATACCTTTGTAGAAGAAGAAGCATAAGAAGAAGAAGACGGAAGAGAGTTCAGAAGATGGTGAGAAAAAGGAAGGCGGTGGTGGTGGTGGAAAACGTGCCCAGAGAGCTACATCCAATGTCTTCGGCATGTTCCCCCAGACACAGATTCAGGAGTTCAAAGAGGTAGGTTGCCCTCCTTGCCACAGAACCAACCGCATTCTTGCATTTATAGGCCTTCACTCTGATCGATCAGAACCGCGATGGGTTCATTGACATCGAGGACTTGAAAGACATGTACGCTTCCCTCGGTAAGCCAGTGCTTCTAAACCTCATCACCCCCTGTCCACGTTTTAAGGTCGCGCACCTTCGGACAAAGAGTTGAAGGAGATGCTGGACGAATCTCCGGGCCCCCTCAACTTCACCATGTTCATCAACCTCTTTGGTGAGAAGCTCAACGGTAAGGAACAGTGGATTTGCTGTCCAGTAGGCTGATGCATCTAGGCCTTGAACAGAGGTTATTTGATGACAACAAGCAATGCACAATGATGCATCATGATAAAAAATCATAGTATAGTGGGATTATAGCCAGTTTAATAGTCGTCTATATTTAGCTTTAAACATTGTCAACCAGAAAACTTGTTTATGTTTAAAGTTATTTCACAAAATCTTTTTTTTGGGCGATGATCAGTCCATTTTGACGTTGACCGCCAATGAAACGCACATCTTTAAACTTATTCCCTTTTGCTGTTTCAGGCACTGACCCCGAGAACGCTCTCATGAACGCTTTTGCCATGTTCGATCCTGACAAGAAGAATTTCATCTCTGAGGAATAGTAAGATTGTCGTTTCCCCTTTCCTTATAAACTCAACACTTTTAGCCTTAAGGACCTCCTAGAAAATATGGGTGACAACTTCACCGCAGAAGAGGTGAGTCCCGGCAGTGTTTAATTTTTTTTAGTCTCGTATATTGAATACACAATAGATTAAGTAACTTATGAGATAATTGCTGCAATTCTGAAAAGTCATTTCGCTTTAAAATATTCACCAATATTGCCAATCGCGTATGATTTAGGTGAAACTTTCTAATCGAAATCACAGATCTTAACCTCTCTTGATATTTTATGATATAGTTCTAAACTGCTGTTCCTATATTTCAGATCCGCCAAACGTGGAAGGAGGCACCCATTCAAGCCGGCAAGGTGGACTACGAGAAATTCGTCCACCTTATCAAGAGAGGCAACGAGGAGTTGTAGATGGCCTTTTATGTATTATGAGGAAGCAATAAGACAGGCTGTATCCTTATTCCTCGCTTTCTGTCTTTGTCCCTCTTTTTAAACCCAAGCACAAGCCTTCACCCACCTCTTCGCCATCTGCCTTCATTTGGTCATTTTTGTCAGCCTGAAGTACCCCCTAGCAGCCACAAATCCCCTCCCCCACCTCCGTTCCCACCCACTCACTCGCTCGGTTGTGGAAGGATAGAATAATTTTAACGACGGGTCATGCCTGCTTACTTGTGAATCTGCGCGTCGAGGCCGCCTTCTACCTAGACTTCGTCTGGCTGCGCATGGATTCGCTACAGGCGGAGATGCGGCTGGGTGACAGAGACACCCCGGGTGTGACAGATCGCTATAATCAGCCCTTTTCGCATGTCAAAGCGTCTGT